ATAGAAAGAAAGGGTCAGGTAAAGGAAACATAATCAAGACCAAATGTGGGAGGCCTGAAAACTAAAAATGGAAGCCAAAGAGTAAGGTGAATTTAAATTCTACATTTTGAAGCCTCAGTATCCTCTGGGATGAGTGTATAGTATCCTTGACAATGAGAGGAGATAGGAAGTGGTGCTTATTTGAGGAAACTGACATGAGTTGATGTCCATTAGGAAAGTGGATACCAAGGTCTGAAGTGAGAATGACAGGTCTAAAGATGAAGTTTGGGGAGTCGTTCAACTGAAACCACAAGAGGGGATGAGCTAGCTTCTTTAAGGAATATCCATATAAATTCATTCTATTGAACTAGAAGATAATCCTTTGGTGCCTTCATCGTTTGCAGTGAAATACTATAGACGTTGGATTGTAAAGTTTTAAGGAGGGAGTGGGTAACAGAAAGATGGGAGACAGAGTAGATAGAGGACCTCTAGTCCTAGAAGTTTCTTCATGAAAGTTAGGTGGGACGTGGGATATAGTTGGAAGGGGTAGCAGTGTTTAGTGAATTATGTTTAACGCTAGAAAGTAAGAACTCGGTGTAGAGTGAAAGGTTTAAGATACTAAAGAGGTAAGAGATAAATGTGGGAATCATGTCTCTCATGAGGTGAGAAAAGATGAGGTTCCGAACAGAGATGGGAAAATAATAAGGGGAACACATGGAAATGAGTAGGGAAGCTTCTCTCTGATGATGGAAGGTTATCATCTTTAACTAAGAGGAGATGAAAGAAAACATTTGAGGTGAAGGTCTTGAAGATGTGAAATAGATAATATGGTGAACCTGTGAGGCCCAGTAGGTGGACAGGATTCCTTCTGTAGAAAGACCTGGGTTCAGATTCTGCTTGTTACTTTACAAGTTGCATCTTTGGAAGGAGCACCCATCCATTGAAGTATAAATGTTGAGGATTACTATTCTTTTTTTTTAATAGGTCTAAAATATATAATTTATCACAGTATACATAATTATCTAGCATATGAAGAAACACAGGTGCCTAAAATAAACTGGTAATCTAACATCTAATCATACAAGGTTGTAGTTACACTGAGGGGGCTATAGGATCACCATAAATATGAGGATTGAAACCAAAGTTATTTTAAAAATCTCCAAAGGCTGTTCAGGAAAATTTGCATTTACTTATAGCTTTGGGGTTTTTTCCACAGAATTTATTGGATCCAGTCAAAGATTGTTTTGAACTATGTATTTCCAGACTACTTCCCTGCAACTAACTCCTCATATTTATTCTCCCCTGCCCCCAATCCCTGTTTCTATTTAGGAAGAGAAAGGCTGCAACCATTAGTATTTGCAGTGGATGAGAGGAAGATTATGTTACACAAGTGGTTTATGGAGCATGAGTAGATAAATTTCCCTTGCATGAAAGAGACAAAAACCTTTTGATTTGGAAGCTGCCCACAGAGCAGTGGAGAAGAAGGAAGGTAAAGATGGGACTAATAAAGGTAGAGGTGTGAAAAGGAATCAGAAATACTAGAGTTGAAAAGGATTTTTTGAGATCAACTAGTTTGATATTTCATCATTTTATAGATAACAAAACTGAGGCAAAAATGATTTGCTCATGGCCACACAGGTAATTAAGGTAGTCAGAAATTACTATTCTTATTAGAAGTTTTGTCAGTTGAAAATGACAAAGATTCCTACAATAGCAGCACTAAAAACAATAACAAAAACAAACAAAAAACTGGATTTGTCAAAGCCCTACCTTAAGTTGGAGAATACTTAACCATTAAAACATAGCATAATCTTTTCCCTTCTATTTAGACTATGTTAATATGAAAACACTGTGGAGACTGTTCGTTACCAGGAAGGCCTCTACCCAGCCTAATGGATCATTTATGCTGTGGAGTCAGTTCAAAGATTAGATGGACAGCAGGAAGGAACCTGCAGCTTTAAGTAACATACCTTCCAGTAACCATATTAGAAATCCTGGCCACTCGTGCTCTATTGCTAGTGACTGTTGTAGTGGAAAGAGTTTTGGGTTTGAAGTCACGGGTTCTGAGTTTGAATCCTGTCTCCCACTTGTGAAAGTCAGAATCTCTCCCGGAGGCCTCAGTTTCATCATTTAACAAATTAAGAGATTGGACTAGATGTTCTCTAAGGTCCCTTCTATCCTATAGCCATAATACTAGGACTGCTCATCATGTTCATTGAGGAAGACTGACATTGCAAATTTACCTATCTTAATGTCATTTTTGGTCAAGTCAAATTCAGGGATTATCATCCAAGTCATTATTGCGTATTGTAATGATGGATACTCGCTGACTTGATTATACATCTAATCAGTGAGAATCAATAGTAAAGAAGCATGCTGAAGGATTGATAGCACATTTAAAACAAATTCAGTTGTTTGTACTTATTAATTTTGACTTGATCCTTATTAAATGAGTTTATGTTTTGCTTTCCCCTCAACCCTTAAAAAAAGAAAATTAAATATTTTAATTTTTAATTAAATGTTGTCTTTAAAAATTCCTTGGCTGAATCAGTTGATAAGAGGGAAAAAAAATTCTACTTTGGAAGCTGCATCCTTTGATAGTCCAAAAACATTTTAGAAGGGGATAAAAGAACAGGGGCATGCTGAGAGCCAATTTTTTTTCCACTAAAAATGGAAAATTCTGCCATAATGACTCACTACTTTTAGTATTACTCCTCTGATCAGTTTGCTCATTACCTGAATAGCTAATGACTAGCGGTAGCTGACAACTGTCACATGCTACCACAGATCCACGTGAAGAAGAATGATATAAACGTACTGTAATAAGGACTAAATACTTAAGTTGATGTCTTCCTTAGGCACACTTCTCACTAGCTCCACAATTTATTATTGAACACCTGATAGAACAGAATCCTTCAATTAACCAATTTTGGCACTTTTAGGGGGAATCTACTTAAGAAATGTTCACTTGTCCTAAAAATGTTTTTGCTACTATATAGTTGGGTGCCAAAAAGTTTCTGGTCAACACATAATGTAAGATTCAGTCTTTTTTGTTTTGGTTTGTTTTTTTGCCAATTAGATGCCAGAGATGTGCCGTGCCAAGTTTTTCCATCTCCCTTCTCACTCCCACACCATCCCTGTTCCTTCAATAAAATATATTGTTATATTAGAAGATACTCTTTAATTATTGCCTTCTCCTATTCCCAACTATCTCAGAAATTGAAGTAAGTATTGGTTTGGACAAGATTTATAGTTCGGGTATATGTCCTGGGGGATCATGGAAGGACAGTGGAGAGGAAACTGATTGTACCACTTCTCCCTAAAGATGTTTTTCATGTCTAGAAGAATGTCTTAAATTTAAATGGGGAAGACTGGAATCTGCTTTGAGAGTACATCTTGAGTTAGCCTGTACGAAGATGGGAGACTTTTCCCTAACTCTTTCATAGCTGAGAAGTGAGTTTTCCTCAAGCAGCTGAAGATCTATCTCTTTCCAAAGATAATGACCAGATACAGGCTAAATTGTTTTGGCTAGTGTGCAAAGGGTCACTTTGTATCACTGTGCCAAGAACTTTATTGATTAGTAGTTACAAAAACTAAAGAATACCCCATCCTTACTTTATGTAGACAGCTAATACTGAAATAAATTGCTTTTGTGTGTTATCTCCTGATGTTAGAAATTCTCCATTGTCTCCAAATGACTTCAGTTACTTCTGGGTTTTTAACAATCTTAACTGAAGATGTTTTTATCCTTGTGACTGCTTACAACTTCCTGGCCCATCGGGGAAGTCTCTGTTCACTTCTTCAGGCTGGGCAATTCAGTGATGATCTGGAACCGCAGAGTGGTACAAATTGGCAGTTCCTGGCCCCAACCCTTTACCCAGGAAAATCTCAGGCTGCTGCCCCTCTGGAGCTGGTGAAGAGATCTTCAAAGAGGAACAACCCATCTACAGTCTGTTCTCAGCCATGTCACCGAAGAAGTCCTCTTTTTATGACCATCTTCCTCTCCATTCTTTTGGTCAGTACTTTGCAGTAAATATATACATTGTATGAAATGGATGATAAGGTCTCAGGCTAAAGGAAATCCATACAGCTAAGGATGAGAGTCTCCTTTAGGAGGGACGTATTATGAGAAATAAGGATAAGGTGAGGGGACCCCACGGCCCAAATAAGCAAAGACAGCTTTTTGCTTCAGCCCACTTTAAGAATTCCGAGGTTATTTGCAGTCATGGAGCTAGGTTGGGGACCTGCTTTCAGTATAACCAGAATGGATCCTCCCCTCCTCTCAACCCAGACAAGTCCCCCACCCCCAGTCACTGTTAAAGGAGGCACATATGCTTTGGCATCACTCTTGTGATCTAACTGCCCTACTTAGTCAGACCCACCCTTAGCCGGATTCCTCCCATGTTGAAGAGCCATGAATATATGGAGCCATCTCCAATGGCTAGCTAAACATGAACCTTAACAGTTTGGGCCTGTTATTTTTTTTCTAGATTGAATGGAGGCTGAAGCAATTCCTCTTTCTTACAGTAGTCAGTCAGAACATTTGGTAAAACAGCCTTGCAAATGTCCCACTTGCCAAGGAAAAGCAGCATTTTTATAAATGGCAAATAGGCTGCTGATTTTGTATACTTCACTTCTTAATACCCCCCTGAAAGAAGCATAAGTTTATCATGCTATATTTATGTAGTATCAATTTTATTTTATTTTATTTTGTTCTTTATTTGTAAGGCTGTGATAGAAGGTAGGCAAAGGGCTGTGGTTCCTCCACCATTGGGACTTATCTGTAGATAACAGAATGAAATTGATGTCTAGACTATGAGGTATCAGACGGGGATGATAATGAGGAGAGTGAATAAGATGCTACAGAAACAGAAAAAAGCATGCTAATGATTATCACCTTAACCTCAACGAGAGCTAGAGTGGGTAGGGAAGGGAGAGGAGGGGAAACTTACATGGCAGGGAAGGTGATTTGACTCATATTTATGTCACAAAACAAAAATAGAGCCGCAACACTGGCTTACTTGTGGAAGTGTATACTAGTGAACTGGGGGCACTGTACACAGAAGATCCCTCCTGGTTTGCCTGGCACAACAGCACCGTGCCTACAAGAGAGAGAGAGAGATGGTATCTGGTTTTGGAACACGCACACTAAACCTGAGGCATTATGTCAAATTAAAAAAAAATACAGCCATATACCAGTGTTCAATGGGGCAGTGAAGACCAATGAGATTGTCTGCCTGTGGGTCTTATATTCCAGAGACCTCAACGAGTAATTCTCAAGAAAAAGAAGAAAATGTTTCTGCCCAACCCAGCCCACCAAGCAGGAATCATCATCATTTTGCAAATTTTGGAGACTTGCTTTTCAGCATCCCTGTTAGGCTAGTCTTTCAAATATAAGTACAAAGAGAATTTTTTTTTCTGCCTGCCGAGCTCTAGTAGATTCAGCCTACTTTTTCCCCCTCAGGAGGTGCAGACGTAAGAAGATGAACAAATTTGACATTTATTACTTTTACTTGGACAATATAAACAGCTGGTTACACTGGGCAAGTAGCTCTCTACAAGACTTTTGCTATTACAATTTCCACTCCTTGATAACCTAGGCTCGCTCTCTCTCTCTTTCTCTCTCCCCCTCTCCCTCTCCCTCTCCTCTCCCTCTCCTCTCCCTCTCTCTCTCTCTCTCTCTCTCTCTCTCTCTCTCTCTCTCTCTCTCTCTCTCTCTCTCTCTCTCTCTCTCTCTCTCTCTCTCTCCCTCTCTCCCCCCCTCTCTCCTTCTCCCTCTTCCTGAATATCCTGTTTCAACTGAAAAGCCTGTCTAACTAACCTTGTGGATAAAGTGTGCACGTTAGCATTCTTCCTCTCCATTCATATGGCTATTTTCTCTGCTTTAATTGAAAAAGACAGCACATAGCAGACATATTACTGCCCCCCAAAATGACTGACATCTCAGACATTCGTGTTCTTATGACATGTTTGAAATAGCTTGATCAAATATTGGTCAGTTCAGAAATTTCTTCAGGAATTATTTTACCTCCTTTCTACTACTGCAAATTAAAAAAGTAGAAATATTCAGAAGATTGTGAAAAAACATTTTATATATATTTTAACCTATTATGGAAAATGAAAAGGTATTCCTAATATTACCTTCCCTGGGTGGATAAGTTCAACACTTCCAGTTTATTCTTCCATTACCATCAAAAGAGAAATGAAGTTAACTCTACCTCAAAAAGTCCATTTATTACAAATGTTCAGCAGTAATAATGAGTTCTTCTGTTCCTTGGAGCCTCACCCTAGGACTGAAATCTAGAACTACAAAATAACCACAAAACCTTTAAATCCAAAGAACAAAATTCAATTTAAAAAATTCTTCCTCCAGCAGCTTTTTAAAAAAAAAATCAGGTAAATTTTGGCATGAAGAAAGGTTTTCCAAAGGTTGTTGAGAGCAAGAGAAAAACAGACTTGGAGGGCATGAAAGCCCTATTGTACCTGGTAATAGTTTGTTTTTGTGGATTAACACAGGAAATGAACAGCATATGGTGAGGGACAGGGTAGTATAATTTTGAATTGCAGATCTGAAGTGGTTAAGATGACTGGCTAATATGAATTATTCTCATTTGATATGGTCCAAGCCTTCTTAATTTCACAATTTCTCAACTTTCTCTCTTTCTGGACTTATCTCCCCAAAACAAGATATGCCTAAAATTCCCAACCCACAGATCAATACCATGAACAATCAAATATAGCTTTTCCACATCCAGACTTGCAGATAATGAGAAAAAGGGATGCTTTTGCAGAATGTTGGCCTACCAATCAAACATCTTCCATTACCTTCCCTGATTACTTGAGAGTTCCAGACTTTGGCAACTCCAGAAGGAGAGTTCTTGAAATGGAGTAACTTTATTTGCTTCAATTTTTTTTTTTTTGGCAAACAAATTATTTTGAGGTCCTGGGCCTTAGGCTGTCCCAATCCTAATCCCAATTCATTAGTTAAAATCTTTCCCTTCTCTAACTATATTCCATTAATACTCCATTACAGAACACAACTATAAAATGGAGTTTTTGAAAGGTCTAATTTTTCTTCACTTGACATTTTCTGTTTTTATTCTGCATGACCACTTAAAAAAATGATGTTGATTTCTAATTAACCAGAAGGAATGCACTTTTTTGGAAAGGCTATCTACTTTGCTTCAGATGTACTCCTTCCACCAAGGAAAACCAGGTTGTCTTATACATGGTCCTGTCTACATTAAATATTACTGTCAATACTTATAACTAGAATTTTCAGAAGTCAGTAGGATTCATTTTAATGAGAGGTAAAGTTTCTTGAGATACCTATGTTTCAAATTTAAAATAATCTATTTGTAGTGAAAATATCCAAGAGATTTAATTATTTGACAATAAGACCCTGAGGGGACATGCCAATATCCTGGATACAATTTACAGAATCCCAACAGAGTGAAATATAGGATTTTTGTTAGAATGCTAAATCCTGGCAGAATATAATGAAATCTTGATCTTTTTCTTCTGTTGTGTTTTTATAAGAAAAAATATTTGAATAAAGTTCTTCAGATACCTTCCTATCTCTCTCTCACACACACACACACACACACACACACACACACACACACACACACACACACACAATAGCCTTATGCCATAAGGCTGACCTTTGTAAAATAAAAATCAACATCTGCCACAGGGCTCAGTTTTTAGATTACCTAAACATGTTCCCATTCAATTTATAATGTACTTATGTATTCAGTTAGGACCTCTGTGACCTTTTATTACAAAAAACCTTGAAATTCAACAAAACCAGACAGCAAAAATATTATTTAATATTAATGTAATTTGGAGTATTTATTTTCAAAAATAAGTCAATTGAGCAAATATGTAATGTATACATGGGATTTCCAGTTAACTCTTCTACTTTAAAAATTACATGGAGAGATTTTCCACACTTTTCATGACCACACCTGGCTCTTTTCTGAGCTTATTTTTGCAGATTAGAACTCAAATACCAAACCCAAAGCTATAGATATACGAGTTTAGTCCTGTGGGCTAGCTTTTTAAAAAATCTATCTTTTGCATGTTTTCAAAGTCATTCGTTCTGATTTCAAATGAAAACCTGGATTAGTGATAACTGGAAATGACAAGAAACAAATGTAGCAAATCACAACTGGGGTGTATATTGGAGATTATTCCCCAAAAGTCACACAGTAAATTACGATATTAACAGCCAAGATTCTAAATGATGGAAGAATACACAAAGGAGACAACAGAATATAGGACTATCTGGATTAGCAGAAGGTTAGCCATGGTTACTTGAAATTACTTCATGAAGAAAGTGAAAAGGAAAGGCTTGGTTGCTAAGTTTAAATGGAGTGGTGTAATCACCAGACAACAGTGACAAAAGAATGAAAGGGATCCTTGGCACCCTATTCTGAGAGTGCATCAAGAAATCCTAACCCTAGAGCTCAGTCTTACAACTTATCCAGGCACTTAAGTACTTAATGGGCTGAGCTTGAAGGGCTCGAGTGGAAACTTACCATTGGTCCATACTAGTCATATATACTTAATAAGTTTTTTGGATCTTGTTAGCCAAGCGACTTAAGGATCCATTGTCATTTTCTGTGAATTTGGTGAGGGAAGACTGAGTCAGCCCAAGTAAACCCAGAAAAGTCAGGATGAAATTCTTCCAGCCTAGCAAAATTCTGATTTACCTGACAACTTAGAAAGAAAGGCACCAGTGTTATCCCATGAGTATCATCCTATGACTGGGTACTTAGGGTTTACACTGCAGACCATCAAGTAACCACATGTGGCTAACAGCAGATATATTAAATTCCCTGCTTTTCCCTATATAATACTGAATGTGAAAACATTGTGGTCAAAACAGACTATACTAGAAATAGTGACTAGAGTATGGAGTAGTAGAAAGACATTGGATTTGGACTCAGAGTCCAAATTGGTTTGAATTCTGCCTCTTCTACCTACTGCCTGTGTAACCTCGGGCAGTTTTTCAGGTACTCAGCTTCTTTATCTCATAACATAAGGCTGGACTAAATGATTTCTTAAGTTTCTTCCATTTCTAGTTCATATGATAAAGAGATGTGGAACTATGGGTGCATAATGTTGCACCCAAATTCAGACAAGGTTGTTATGTTAATGAGTTTCAGTTAAATGCCTTTTTGTTGTGGTTGTAAAGGAGAGTTCTGGGGTAGTCACACATAAAAGCACATGTGTATATGGGGGGGTATATATTGGGTAATAATGGGTGTAAAACAACAACAAAAAAAAGGTATCTACAATTTTTTTTCTTTTCAATACCTATAAGAGAAAAAGAATGTTTCCAATATATGAGTTGTTTTGGAGGTTGGACTTCTGAATGGGCTGCTTTGAAATACATGATAATCAATGACACCATCCCCTCCCCCAAAGAAAAGGATAAAGTATGGTTCAATCAAAATATTCTTCTGGAAAGGATCCCTACAAGTGAATGTTTAATACTTCTGTCTTGAATAGTGTGAAGGTTTTGAACCACTCAGAATGGGTGTGTGTGTGTGGCAGGGGGGTTTGTCTTTGGAGATTAAATTTAGACTGAAGGAATCTTAGTTCTTCCTGTTTAGCTGCCCAGGCTAGGCAAGATTTGTTTAGTACTGACCATAAAGGTCTCAGATTAGACAAGTTTAATGATATCTTTTAGTCTTATTTGAAAGTTTGAAATTTCTTGCTTAGATAAAACTCAGTGTTGCAGGGCTGGTTCAATATTAGGAAAACTATCAGCATAATTGATCATATCAACAACACAACAAAAAACAAGTGATCATCTCAATAGATGCAGATAAAACTCAGTGATTTGTTGGGTTTTGTGTGAACATTTGGAATCTTCCTGGTTCTGGGTGCTGGCTCTGTCTGTCACGGCTGAGGCCGGCTGTGGCTGCTTGTCTTCTCTGCCTTCATGGTTTGTCACATGAATATGATTAATGACATAGGAGAGGGGAGCTCTAAGCCCCCCTCTACTTTCCCAAAAGAAATGGTGGCTTATTGTTCACATACCCAAGATAATGCTAAGATACAGTGGTTTTGAAAGTGGAATTTTTATACT